CCCCACTTTAGCATCGAAATTTCAATATTCAATATTGACAAAGGGATTGAAAACATGACATTTTCTGTTCAAAGTCAGGTCCTTTAACAATTGTTAAAGTTAGTACTTTTAAAAAGTGAACATCCTATATATTAATGGCTTGAACTTGTTACGAATTTGGTTCATTATAAGTAAAACACTAACTATTTTATTCACGGATTCACTCTCGATTAAGAGTTTTTTCAGCATTTGTTTTTTCATATTTAATTTAAATTATAAGATCAACGTAAAAAAGATATAAAAATAGTTTAGTACTACGAACATATTATATTTATGTGTTATGAAAACAAGTTTCGTTAAATTTTTATAAAAATATATTCTTTTAATAGCTACTAAAAGAATACTACATTTTTTTTTATAGGAGAGCACGTAATAGGTACATAAATTACCTATATACCAAAACAACCAAAAACACATAAAAGAGCTCTACTTATCGGAGATTATTATCAATATTATCAACAGAAGTTGATGTAGGAATATGGTATTTTAATTTTTCTCTTTCATTTTGTAATGGAAACAATTTTTTTTAAATATAACTACCGACTGTCAACTTGAATTACTGCCAGCACAATAAATGAGAAAATAGAAAACCAATAGGTGTGTTAGCAATGTCTGAATGACACATATATTTCAAGAATCTTTAGGAAAATATCATTTTGTATTTAAAGTATATTGTGGGAGATATTTGTATTCTAGTAAGACAATTTTATGATAGTTTTCGATAAAATTAAAGGAAATAAGGGGATTATTTAAATAAATTATGGGATAACTGACATATATTTTGTCAATTTGTAGTTAACGTAATTTATTTTTTTTAAATACACATCGAATTAATCTTTTGTTGCAATTTAGTTATGTTGTTAAAATGTTTATTCCTGCTAGCGTACTAATATTTTCTATTACAGACCACCTTAAACATAAAATATTTTTATAAAAATTCTTAATATGGTTCCCTCATCCAAACACTTTTGATACGTTAAATAATTCACATTTTCTCTCTTATCACTTATTTAACTTGTTTTCATATCAAATAAATGAGGAGGTCCATTTGTACACGGTAGTTGATTTTACAGCAAACTTGTGTAACTGTATAGACATAAAAACTTATATTTTTAAATTATAGGGCTCTCCTTGCTCTTTTTACACAAACATTAATTTGGTTTGATCAGTATCATTCCTGAATGGAAATCTTATCTTTCCCCTCAATTGAATTTAAAAAAGACAATTCTGAATTTTCAAACCATTTTTCTACAATGTAAACCACTAACTAACAGTTTCTTAATATTATTTCTTCCCGGATAGATGCGACTGATGATTCACTGTAAAAAAATCGGTGTGAGTGAAAGCAATGAAGGTTCGGTGTGAATCCATTGAGTGAAATTATTGAGTACATTTTCACTCATTGAGCGAAATTGTTGAGTACATTTTCACTCAATATTGGACATTTTGACCATTTTACTCATTTGTGATTATATTTAAACTAAAACTGAGTACTTTCACTCAAATATAGGTACTCCTTAAATAAATTCTTCACGGAAACTCGTATTTGGTGCACTTGTACCTAAATCTGAGTAAATTATTAATTACTGAGTGAGTTTAAATGTATATTAATTTCGAGTAATTTGAATGGCGCCGTGAAGATGGCACCACTTACATATTGCTTCTGTAATCTTGACCACAGTTGATAGTCTCTTAGATGCTACAGAACGGTGCTATCGCCAGGAGAACAGACTTTAGCCGGTGGCGGCGGGTCTCAGCTGGCGGGTCTGACCCAGGACAGGAGAAGGCCCCGCGAAGTGAATTAATTTCAACACCGTATATCCTAACTAATCATTTATGAGTGATTTATTTTTGCATTCAATATTTAGTTAATTAAAAACCAAGTCTGAGTAAAAAATGACTCAATAATAGTTCAATTTAAACCATATTAGAGAAAAAGTCAACTCTAAATTGGATTTATATACTCAGAACAGAGTAAAAAATTGCTCAATTGATAGTTAGCAGTAACGTGGATTTGAGTAAAATTCACTTACTCTGATGCAATAGTTTCACTCAGTTGTACTCATACTTATAGAGTGAAAATTTCTTTCAATCGGATGTGGACAGAAATTGACACATTATTTTTACAGTGTACCATTTCCACTGTCAATTGTACTTTGTTCTCTTCGCCTTGAACTGTAATAGCATTATTTCTACCATTTTTAACAACCGCTAATCTTTTGGCAGAGGGAAATATAAAAAGCTGTGACTGCACAACCTTAAAACAGTTTTTGGCTTTTATTTCATAATGTTTACGCCAGTTTCTTGCAGCTTTCTTATATTTCCATGTTTTTTTTTTAAATCTCGGCATACTGTTCTGGACTGATAACAATAGATACCTACGTTTTTAGTTTTTTCTCAGCAGTTACAAATACGCTGTCTATACCTTATTGTTTAATTATTTTTGATAATAAACTGAACATACGAATAAAACCATCAAAGGATTACAGCATACTTCAACATTCATTGGTCATCGTTACATGGCAAGTTATGGAAAGAACATTTTTTATATACATTTGCTAAGGGATAAGGACGGTTTTAGTAAGTCAAAACGTAATTTATTTGTGTATTATCAGGTACTTGTATTACTTACCGATGTCAATAACTGAGTTTTCTTAAAATATGGATTACGCAAGTTTTATTTATTTATTTATTTTATTTAGAAGTTACTATATCCAACGGGACTAAGTCCCAATTATAGGATAAGGTAAAACAGAAAACCTTAACTAAATTTTAAAAGAAAAAGGCAAACTAACATTAAATATAAAAATATAAATACTACATAACATAGAGCAATCAAAATATAAAATCCAGACAAAAAAGTTAAGGATAAACAATAACAGACAGATAAAACTAATAAGCTAACAAACATATACAAGATAAGGATTACATTTACTAGACAAACAATTTTTTTATGTCATTCATACAATGAAAAAATATATTAAGTCGATCTTCATACTTCTGGTAATTGGAAATCATTTGATATAGGGGAGATGCTATTAGTAAGTTGGTACGAGGTGTGGGTAATTGTAAAACGGAGTGAAATCTGGAATTAAGTCTAGGAATATGATATAAAATCCTTGAGACTAACGAGTCTGCATTTAACGTGTTATTTATGATATTAAAAAGGAATACAATTGAAAACATAATTCGCCTACGACAGAGACTATTAAAATTAAAACAAGAAAGCAATAAATCTTGAGGTGTACCACGAGGAGGATAAAATCCATAACTAATAAAATGAATAGTCTTTAAAAATCTCCGTTGTACTTTCTATAAATGAATATTATAGATATTATAAATGGGACTCCAAACAACTGATGCATATTCAAGTTTGCAACGCACAAATGCTGCATACAATTTACTTAGAACCTTTACCTTCTGAAAGTCCTTAAAATTACGCAAAATAAAGCCTAAATTCTTATAAGCAGATTTGGTTACTGTGGTCGTCAAACGATAATCTGGTATCGAAAGTAACACCAAGGTCAGTAAATTGCGTAACTCTATTTAAATGAGATTCACCAATTTTATAATCAAAATCTAGATTAGTTTTGCGTCGACTGTAAGTCATAAATTTACATTTACTTACATTCAAAGGTAGATTATTACTTGAACACCAATTGTGTAATCTGTCAAGATTATATTGTACTGTAATACAGTCAGTAGATGATTTAACTTCTAAGAATAACTTCAGGTCGTCCGCATATAGTAAATAGTTGACATCGAGGCATTCAGTTAAGTCATTAATAAAAATAATAAATAACAGTGGTCCCAGAATTGACCCTTGCGGAACTCCTGAAGATTGATGGAATTTACATGATTGAAAGCCTCGATACTGCACAAATTGGTACCTATTACTAAAATAGGATTTAAATAGAGTTAATAGAGCAGGGGATGTACCATAAGACTCCAATTTCAAAGTTAATAAATTATGATCAAGCCGATCGAAAGCTTTGGAAAAGTCGGTACCTATACACATCTTATATTGATGTTAAAATTAAAATTAAATTTGAAATATGTAAATATTGATAAAACTCTTGATCAAAAGCAAAATGTTCATGAACGAAACAGTTGTCACTTTATTTATAAAGAAGAAAGTTCCCAAGAAGTCCAAGTCTACGACACTAATGGAAAAAATTAAGGGATAAAAAAAAATCTAAATTTTCGGCGATTTTTCAAATGGCTGTATCTTTGATAAAAATAGCCGTATTGGAGTAAAAAAAAAATTTTCAAGTAACAGTATCGCGCAATCTTAATGAATATCATGAAAAAATTTTTTTTCTAAAAAACCGTGTCAGGACCTTGTAGATAATTCATTCAAGTTTCTGAAACCCACCGTCGATTTTCTGTGCAACCATTGGTTTCTGAGATATCGATGAACAAAGAGACAATGATCCATTTTCATTCAAAGTCCGATAGCTCAGCGAGAAATGGTCGTATCGAGACCAAAAAAAAAGATATTGAAGCTAAATGAACAACCTATCTAATCCATAAGGTGGTTCAGGTGGAAAAATTTGTTTCAAGTCCGTACACCAAAAATAAGATCGAAAAAAATTTCGAAAAAATTTTTTTCATGATGTTCATTAAGATTGCGCGATACGTGTTACTTGAAATTTCTTTTTGCGAGATCCAAAAATTAGAAACTTCAAGCTGCAAATTGCTTTTTTTTTACTCCAATACGACCATTTTTATCAAAGATACAGCCATTTGAAAAATCGCCGAAAATTTAGATTTTTTTTTGATCCCTTAATTTTTTCCATTAGTGTATGAAGTAGGTAATGTTTTAATAGTGTATAGGAAATAGGAAATAAAAACCATATAAAAACACTGAATTTTTGTATTAACTGTTAATTTATCTAGAAAACAAAATGAATTCCATTCCTAACAGTTAACAGAAATCGAGATAGCATTCCCTCTTCCAGAATATCCTCCCAGCAGAGCCCATCGTCGTCGCACTACTACGTTCAGCACACCGGCACGGGCAGTCGGCGCATAATGCCCCGTTCCGGTTCCGACCAGCACCTTCCGCAGACCGAGTACTCCGACTACACCAGCATCACCCAGGCCGGCCGCCACAGCCTGCTCCGCAGCAGTCTCAAGTCCGGATCGACGCTGAGCCGCTACAATCAGCGCTTCGTGGACCAAGCTGCGGTGGCCGCACAGCTCGCACAGTCCAAGTACGGCACGTCCGGCGCCCAGTATGGGACCTCCTCCGCGATGAGGAGGACCCGTGGTAGCCTGGACTACTCCAGCGACACGGAGGCCACGTCAGGGTCGAGGAGTGGGTACTATTATTATAGGTAAGGGTGTAACCGGTGTGATAGTTAATATCTGAACACAACTCTTTTTAAGGAAATGATGTTGATAGTTTTACCACATTGTCCATAAAGTAACGGCCACACAGTGCTATGTTCCTTATGTAGATTAAATTTACAAAAGATGCCATGTCCACTATATAGGTAAAAAATATCAGTGTTACGATAACACAAAGCACGTTAAAACAGCCGATATTAAGATAGCACCTCACAGAGCACTGTGTCACTACTGTCTTCAATGAATCATGGAGGCTATTTTTTATATACATGCCTAACATTAAATGAACGTGACCACACATAATGCATACAATGTGAGCTCCAGTAAAACAAAATCGTGATCTGAGAGACATTCCCTCCCACCACTTTTGCCCCCTTCATTGTTTTTTCTCTAACCCCGTCCACTTTTGCTCACCTAGCCTAATCAATGATCGAGGAGTATTTTTCCATCAATCAGAGGTCGGAGAGTTCTAAATCCCTCAATCAGAGAATAGAGAGTTTTAATCCGCTCCCCCACCAATTTATTCTCATCTTCCCCACAAATCTGTGCCTCTTCCACCAATTTTTACTTTCTCAAAACTGGTTATATCCTTCCACCCACAATAACGCATTTGTCCAGTCCTAGTCTCTGAATCGCTTGAAATTGGAAACTGGCTTTACAAAATAACTTATTAGTGAAATGCCGTATCAAACGGGTATTTTTGATCTGCCTGACCTTAATATCGACGTACCAAATAATCTTCAACCAGCTTTCCAGAATAAAAATGATTGTATGATCACGAATGAAAGAAAACATTTAAATAAATCAGGAATCAATTTTGTATCTGTCGGATGCTATTTGAAGAATGGAGATGTTTTCTTACACATCAGTCAATCGTAACTAATTATTTCTTAGCAATCTATCTATGGCTCTGATAGAAAAGTTTTCATTGAGTTTGAACAAGTGCAAAATTATCGAGTTGTAAAGATTACGAAAAATAATTCCTACATATTCCTCTGGGATATGAAAATACACGTAGTTTATGGTAAGATACAGGATTTCACAGAACTAAAAGTTGGGCCGTTACAGGATAGCTGGAAGGGAAATAGGAAATCACAAGAGCTGATTTTTATGGCATGACATTATGGATACTTAACTAAGTTAACACTCTAATTGCCATGTCATTTTTCCACAAATTTCATGTGAAAGACCTCTTTTTTCTCAAAAAGTTATAAAACCAAATGTATAGAGAAAAATAATAGTTCCCACAAGTCAGTTACTGACTGCTATGTTACTTTTATTGTTAATATTCATTAATGATAAACCATTTGTCTCGGTAAATATCGAATCTTTTCGAGCTTTCCGAGAAATATAGATCGTATCAACTTTTTCATTATGCGTATTATTATTTTTCAATAAATGTAAATTTACGCACAAATAATAAAACAATGATGACAATAGTTGACGTGTGATTTGTGCCAATACCGAATATAACATAGAACATATTTTTGTCAGTACCAGACTTGATTGACCAAAAAGAGGAATTGAGAAACATAAACTCGATGTAGGTACTGGAAAGATCGACAATTTATCAACTATTTCAAGATTGTGCAAAAAGTAGTGCAAAGTCAAGCGGGAAAAATATTTAAAAATGCATTAAATCTACTCTAACAGAGCAAAAATCGAAATAATGGAAAAATCTCCAAAATTTATTGTGGAACGTTATTTGGTAAGACGATTTAAGGTCAAGCAGATCAAAAATAGTCGTTTGATACATTTTACTACTACGCTATTTTAACTAATGTTTTGTGTAATTTCGATATAATCAGTTTTGAGAAAGTAAATCATCTTCTGATTAACGGTAAAGAACCCTCCTCCCATTGGCTAAGCTAGATGACAAGAAATTGGAAGGGCTAGAGAAAAAAATGGTGGGAGAATGTCTCTCAAGTCTCAGTTTGCTTGTACCCATTTTCATCGTGGTAGATTTGACTCACAATCAGCAAAATTGAGTCGAGGCTAATTTTTAAAACAAATTACGTAGATGCTACTAATAGAATGCTTTACACGTATAAAAAATTTTGTTCAAAACTATTTTGTTCTAGAGACATGAATACTTTCTTGTCTTCTGAATAAACGCTTCAGTACAGCCTAAATATTATTTTTTAATATTCTTCCGTCGACATTAAATTCACCTAAAATAGTGAATTTGTTGGATATATTTGTACAAACCGATGTTTTAAAAATATTGTCGCAAAGCCAATCAGTACCAGTGCGAACGTATCGTACGATTGTATTATTTTATTTATTTATTTAGGTAAAATATGGTAGTTACTTTTTAGCGAACATAGCAATTCCAGCTCTGTGTGATCATAATATTAGCAATTTTTAATATATACAATAAACATAGCTAATATAGCGCACTGTATGGCCCAAGCAAAAACCGTGAAAAGAAAATATGAACTTTACTTTCATATTTTGGAGCTATGGTGATCGGGTTTTAAATTAATCGAATAAAAATACTGATAGGTTTTGGAAAATGATGCCAGTTTGTCTATATGTAGTTATAAAGTTTTACAAAACTACCTTCGCTAAAATACATATGTTTATATTCTACATAAAAAAATTGTTAGAAGTATTTCTTCAAGAAGTTCTGTTCATCGCATTTAACAACAATCAAAATGAGTTCTTTTCTACAGAAATCAGGGTGCAGCAGCCGTTCCTCATAGCACAATACCAACTTTAGGCAGACAAAATTCTCTTACCTCGACCGACATCACCACAAAGTTCAACTCGCTTCCAAGGGATGCTCGGGGATCCACAAGGTAAAATAGAACCAACTAATATAATATATTTTAAGGTATATCTAGGTTTCTTAATACCCTTGTCTGAAAAAGAATCAGCTCTGGGGAGGAGGTGATTACTTTCATGAGTTTTTGAAAAGAAAATTTGTCCTGCTATTTCAAAGCAATGTTGTAAATCAAATTTTTGTTCTACCAGAACATGCACAAATGTAATGTAATAGTTCCTTTTATGTACTTGCTTTGCAATTTAAAAAAATTCTTGGCATTTTATTATTCACCATTATTTTCTAGAAATAGAAGTAAAGAAATATAGGTGTAGAATATTACGTAACTAACCATGTAAGTGCATAATAAGGGTCTAGCTTTACATTGTATTGTTCATCCCATTTTCCTCAATGCCGTGTTACGGATTCTTGGGTATTATTAAATATTATTAAGGATGGTTGGTTTTGGAGACACATCTTTTTGGGTAGGAAAAGGAGAATGTTACCTCAGTTGCAAAAATAATTAAACCTAAAGTTATAGATAATATTTCTTCGTATTCAGATAGAACCACTTTTACTACGATTATCGTGATGTAAGGTTTGAAGGTCGTAGCTCTAATGTTAAGTTATACAGGGTGTTAATGAACTTATGTGAAATATTTTTGCCACATGTCCGTTATGTACAAATGAGGTAAATACATGGATTTGTGTTAAATAAAATGTAATTTTAATATCTGACTTACCTCAACATTGCAAGGAGCCACCTTTTGAGAACTGCTGATTTTCATAGATGTTCGATATATCCACCATTTGCTTGCACACAAGCTTCAGCGTGATGTATCCAATTCGCTCGCACGCGTTGTAACATTGCCACGTCCTCTCGAATCGTATTATAAGCTTTCGCAATGCGATGTCGCAGTTGGTCGATGTCACGAACTTCCGTAGAATACGCAACACTATTCACATATCCCCACAAAAGGAAATCTAAAGGGGTGAAGTCCGGGGACTGGGAGGCCATCTAACTAGGCTGCTCCGGCCTATCCAGCGATCGGAAAAAGTAATGTTTAGAAAGTCGCGTACTCTCCGAAAAAAGTGAGCGGGGGCAGTGCAGTAACCATATATTTTGTCGAAATATTTACTTGCTCTGCGATATTTCCGGTGCGGGGGCACATTGTTCAGGATACCTTGCACGGTCCCTGTGGGCATTTTCGTGTGCTTCGCTATAAATTATGAGCATCATAATATTCGCGATTGCTGAATAAATGCGCCATTTTCAAAAGAAAACTTAGAAATATAGCTATTAAATGTACTCTCAAAAAACAGCACAGCAATCACTACAACAATTAGAAACTGACTTTCGAATGCAGTCCGGCTTCATAAGAAACCTACAAACTCGTGAAAAGTGTTACAGAATTTTTTGTAAGTTCACATTTTTAAATAGCTTTTCATGACCTTAAACTTCCGATACAAATTGTGACATGAGTTAACTCAGTTTTTGCTCCTTTTTCACCCCTTTAAATTTTCGACATAAGTTCATTAACAAGTCTAATAAGCTCAGTGTGTTGTTAGCAAAAGAATATCTACCTATTACTAATTTATAAGCGTCGAAATTTTGGTGATCTAGTCAATACGCAGAGTAGTATTTTTTTGCTAACAGAATCCATTTTTACCAAAAGGGGATCTGTCATACTACTCTAATCTTAAAAAAAATTGTAGATCTAATTACTGGCATTTGAAAATATGCAATTATGAAAATTGAAAATTATTGAAAGTGTTGTATTGAAAATTTTAAAAAGTTTTTTTATAACTTTTATTCTCAAATATTTTTTCATATCTCAAAAAATAATGGGCAAAAAATAGGGCGTGTGTCTTTGGTAGAAAATTCCTTATTCGTGCTATAAAAAGCATTATGATAATAAAGTTGTCAATGATTTGATGAAGTTTTAAACCGTTTAAAGCAATTATTTTATTTTTTTTAATTATCGTTATTACATTATTATACATTTTAATTCAAATTTAGTTAAGAAAATGTTCGGTTAAGATTATTTCATCAATGCTATAACTTGACGAGGTTTGTGGAAATCTGTGTCACACAGTGTTCAATTATCCCATGAAGAAATTAACACGGAAGGAACTTCAAGGAAACTTTCCCGGAAAGTAGAATATACGCGTCTTTTATTGCTTTTTAACGTCTATTCTCGGGAAAGTTTACCGGGAAATTACCCAAAATGACGTTCTGCACGGGTTATCTATGAGCATCAGAAAGTGGGATGGCCCGTTATTATATAATGGTTTCTCTTTCAGATTGGCAATGAATAAAAGATTCGGAGATAGGAGCGTATCCCTTTTGCAAGATGAATCAGACGGGGCCCTCTCCGCACCTGAAATGCCTTCGATACGGAGAGACCGCGGTAAGTGGCGAATATTAAAATTCTTTCCCAGCACACTTTTCGGGAGATCATAAATCAGATAACGCTTATGTGTGCTCGGAACTTTATTTTTTAAACAAGTTACAGCTGCGACAGGGAGGATGAATTCTATCTACCCACTTACACAAATGCATGGTTGTCGCAAATGACAGCGCAAGAATTTCATTTATTTCTTTCACATTTCTAATTTAGAAATAACTTCTGTTTACTTATGTCCCAGCATAGAGACGAACTGATTTAAATCTACAACATTTTTGCTTATTTTTTAATCAAGATGAACAAAATATAGGAATATCTATGTAATTTTAAACCTACAAATTTTAAACATCTCTGCTGTTATACACAGGCCATACAGACTGAAATAGGTAAGAAGGTAACCGGTAGAGTGTTGGTAGCCCAGCAGACCTCAAGTTAGACTTCATAGACCTCCATGGAATACATGTTAATAAGTAGGTACTCAATCAACGTCTGGAAAATGAGTAGTAGTCATTTGCTTAACAAAAGATCATTTTAATGAACAAAAATCAAAAGTTTCATAGTTTAGACAAGTACAAGTGTGTTATGTATATTAACTCCTATCAGCCATTCATTGTTGTTTGGTGCACAGGTGTGTTTTTCCAGATTAGCTTCAAATTGTATTTACCTACTTACTCAAATACTAAGTTTGTTATTACTTTTGCTGAAATTAGTAAATATAGTATTTAAATTATAGTATTTATTATGATTTCAGAATAAAATTTGTCTTGAAAAAAAAATTAATTTATATTTTGTGTTTTCTATATTTCTCTCTGTTTGTCTGTTTTTTTTTTTTTTTTTGGGAACCCAAGTCGATAAAATCCATAATAATATAAATTGGGTGTTATTAAATTATTTAATTACATACAAGGTCCGTTTCAAAGTAAACAGGACTTTTTAAAAATAAGAACAGAAAGCTTTTTTGGCAAAACCAACTTCTTTTATTCAAAATAGTCCCCTTCCGACTCAATAGTGAGTTTTTTAGATCGTCGGTACAAACCTTGTGGATGGCTTCTACGTCTACAAAACGCTTTCCTTTGATCGACAAATGATTTTTTTCGAAAAGGTGAAAGTCGCACGGAGCCAAATCAGGCGAATAAAGGGAATTGTTGACAGTTAAAATGCGATTCTCAATCAAAAAATAGGTCACAAGTGTCGATCAAGGAAATGGTGCATTATCGTGGATGGTGCATTATCGTGCAACAAACGCCACGATAATGCACGATTTTCTGTCCGAGTACGATGAATACGATACACCAAACGCTTCAAAACGCATCTTATTTGTGAGTTAACGGTTAGGCTCGGTGGAATGAATTCTTTGTGGACAGTACCCTTGGAATCATGACACCAAATCAACATTGGCTTCTCCAAACTTCTCCAAACGAGATTTCGAATACGATACACCAAACGCTTCAAAATGCTATCTTATTTGTGAGTTAACGGTTTGGCTCGGTGGAAGGAATTCTTTGTGGACAGTACCCTTGGAATCATGACACCAAATCAACATTGGCTTCTCCAAACGAGAAGCTTCTGGCTTGTCTGGCGCCTTCCAGTTGGCTTTGGCACTTGCTTTTTGGATCATATTGAAAGGACCGCGTTTCATCACGAATCACAATGTTGTAAAGGAAGTTTTTATCCTATCTGACCTCCTTGATGATGTCCTTCGAATGTTGAATTCTGAGAAATTTTTGGTCGTCAGGCGCCTTTTGCGGAACAAACCATGAACACACATTACGATAGCCAAAATGCGATAAATTGATATTTTTGAGGTGCTTAATTCCAATTCCACGAATTTCAATGAATATTTTGGCTGATCTTTGATGAATTCACGCACAGTTTTGATGGAATCTGTGGTAATCATGGATTTCGGTTGGTCAATATGTTGCTCATCATTTATGTCTTCACGACGGCGTATACCACTCAGAAACTCTGCCGAGGTTGATTTACTTGTGATGAAAATTATAATTTACTTTATTGAACTGATGTACCTAATAATATATGTCATCACTAGCGAAAATTATCTTTTACTTCATTCGAAAAACGAATAATGAATGAGTAATGAATACTTGTAAATTCGAAAACTAGTTTAAGACCCTGGATTTATTAAGGTTTTTGGTCTATAATGGTCTAAGATAGATACTTAAGTACTTATTTTGGCTTTTAGAGATATTTATACGAGGAGTGCAGTTATGCAGTATATAACTCGACAAATTTCCCCACTAACACATTACATCAAAAACAGAAAAATTTGAACAATTTAAGAAAGTGTATCTCACTCACTATCTATATACCCTGTATATTTATAAATATTTGAATAGAACATTCTCTGTCGAGCATAATCATATAGGATTTGTTAGGTCCATCTCTAGCAATAAGCGAGATACAATTAAAAAAAAAGAGGTTTTTTTATTAAGAAAATAAGATATCTTGTAATTGTTAGACTTCTCTGAAGCATTTTTGTTTTTTTTTTTCAATTACGTAAAGATTTACGGATTTAGTTGTAATATATGTATTTTAACATATCGGACATTGATATGGTCCAAAATGCATGTAGGTATTTCCAAATTTCATTAATTAAGTCGCCAGAGGCCTAATTACTCATGGAAAATTTTATATGGTAGGCCGTGACAATGATAAGTAATGTCATGACAACATTGTTATTGTTTGATGGTTTGAATTATTATTTAAATAAAATTGAAATACACAGAAGTAAAAAATTTAAATATTATAGGAATTAAAATAGAGTAAAAGATCTTCTCCATACTCTACTTTTAAAACAAAAAAGTTAAAGAGGAGGCCAAAATATAGTGAATCACCCTGTCTGTACCTAATAAGAAATCCATATTTTTATCTGAGTTAAGACCTAATATTCATATGTAGCAAAATTAAATATTTTTTTATTAGAATAAAATATCTATATTACAATGATATAAAAATGATGCAAATAGAATCTGAAATCGCATTTTATAATGTCAGAATAATTACATCGTAAATTTTGCAGTATATTGATAACACTGTTAAAGATTATCTGTGGTTTCTTTTTCATAAATATATAAATTTCAAGTGACATAGACAAATTGTGATATTCCATGTAATTTTTACGTAATCTGCAAACTGCACGAAAAAGATTAGCAAGTCAAAATTACTATCGGCGCATTCGCCATATTTTTAAATATGCATTTCGTGTGCTGTTCACAAATACCAACTAAATTATGCAAATATACAATGCTTTTCCAGTTAAATTACGAAAACTGGTATGAAAGAGAATTAGTGAACAGCAAATTAATGAAACAATTTGTGGATAGTACTGTTTATTTCAACAATAGCTCTTCGTTTTTGTGAGTATTTAATTTATAATCAATTTTAACAAATATTTCACGTAGACGAATATTATTAATTTTCACTACAAGCAGGGAAATAAAGATTTAACAAATAAAGATATCTACTTATTTAAAATAAATTCAAGCAGTTTTTCATTCACAAGACGAGACAATTGAGGAAAACTTCATTTACGTATTCTGGAAAGACGGGAATCTCTAATTTGAACTTAACTTTTATGGTTGTCTGTTAGAGTCAAACAACGAAGATAAATAACTAGCTAAATAAAAAAATGAGTATTGTATGAATATATAAAACGAATTTTCTAGACAATTGTGTACCGCTAAACATATATCAATAACCCACAGTATTATTGGTTTAAAAGTAGTAATTCCTTTCTTTATGCCTTAATAAAGCTTCAGCTTAATAAAATTATCGTATTATTTCATTTCAACAAACATCGTTAAAACATTAACTTAATATTCTCTTAATGGCTGCCAATAACTTGATGAAAGCAGACCGCAAATAATAATAAAATATTTAATGATTTATTTACATCGATATAATTAAAGAAAAATAATAATCGGTCTTGCCATACTATATTTTTTATTAAGGCAAATAATAATGTCTTTTATTTTTAGCGCAACCTATAAAGTAAAGATTTGGAAACCCTTAGCTGTACTAAATTATTCCTGGATTACTTTTTGTTAATATTAGTCTGAAACTAAATTACCTATATTAATTATATGACGTGGATTAGCCTATAAAAAAATTGCACACATAATCTTCTCCAAAGCTTAGAGCCTTAAGGGAGACTTAATTACTACAAAGCATTGTTCTTTTTACTCATGAAAGAAGTAACGTAAAAAAATGTTTTACTGTATTTACTTGACGAATAATAATGTGTGGCACAAGATTGGTTGAACGCCCACCAATACATTTTTTGCAACAGAGAAATAGACGTAAGTAATGATACACTATTCACTGCATACGAGTACACAAACATACTATAATTATTTATTTGGTTTCGTATTATGGAAAATGAAATATAGATTGTGACGAATTATAAAGTCAAGACTTTAACTGCAGTGGAAATTTTGCACCCGTTCATAACGTTATACTATCACATTTCATTCTTTTTCAATTTTTTCGCTTGGCTCAAGTAGAGGAAACTGTTCTTTAGAGAAAATCCGACTTTATTTCTTTCTAAATGACAAAAATTGGCAAAAATAAAAATGTACAAATACGAACGGGTGATAAAAAAATATTTAAATAATAATAGTATACTGTATATGCATAATTCAAACCCGAAAATACTAAAGAAATGCTAACTTTCTCTGGAAAATAACCGAATCTGCTGAAAAATTTCTAGTGTCAGTCTGAAGCCATTTGTGCCTTCTATAAACAAAAGGCCACTGGATTGAGGTCGGGAGGACGACTTGGCCATTCAATAAGCGCATCTTGTCCTCTGCCAAACCAGCGGTTAAGTAAGACGTATATTTCTCTTAAATGGTTCTGAACAATTTGACTATAGTACTAGAAGAGGCACAGACGGCATTAAGAATATTTAGGAAATTGTTTTATAAAAAATTTCCCCTCCATACATTTCAAATTCACTTGATGTCGCCTCACCAGAAAAGCAAACTTGA